AGGCTGAGGACAACGACAAAGAGGAAGCTTACAAAAGGACCAAGGCATCTGGAGATGAGGATCATGAGGATCGCAAGCATAAGAAGAAAGAGGAACGCAGTGGGGACTTGAAGGTAGTGTTTACTCAGGAGAAGGGACACATCAATCTGCACACCCAAGAATGTGAAGATGGCTGGTGGTGCGAGATATGCAGGTATGTTTTTACTTTTACTTTGAACATCACTGAACTAATGCCAATTCAAGAGCCAACGACGTACCCACGAATCAATGCTTTTTCAAAGGCAGTGTTTCAACTTGCTGCACCCATATCGCTCACAATGTGAAGTGTCACTTTCCAATATACCATGACCACTGCAACCAATGAGGTATCAAGATGCACGAGTGGGCGATACCTCCTAACTGCAAAGCAACCGACGAAGTGCAGCAAACATTAGATGCCTCCCTTACAGCTAAAATTCCTGAATTCACTAAGTCTGGTCTAATGGATTACATTGTTGAGCTTATTGTGTCTGAGGACGAGGTGACTGTTTTTTTTTGTAATCGTGACTTAGGATGTTCATGCCATAGATAGGCGTTCCAACTCGTTGACAAGGGACCCTTTCATTGGCTGCTTCAATACCTGCGGCCCTCCCTTTCAGACAGGGATATTCCTCATCGCACAAAAACTCAAGATGAAATTCTTGAACAGGCGCAGCTTGCCATTCAACGTGTCAAGGTGAAGCTTAAGCAAGTCGATAGCAAGATTTCGATCACCTTTGACTCATGGACATCCAAACCTGGTGTACCTTTCCTCTCCGTCACCGCGCATTATATTGACTCCCCAGCTGGGAAACCTCATGAGTGGGAATTGAAGACAGAGCAGCTTGCATTCACCATCATCAATGGCAATCACAGTGGGAGCAACATTGGAAGAATCCTGATCAAAACAATCAATAACAATGGCATTCGGACCAAGGTTGGATGGTTTATGGCTGACAACGCCACCAATAACAACACAGCAATTCAGACTGTTGCACTTGCTATTGACCCTTCTGGCAAGAAATGGATTGCTGGCGAGCACTGTGTGCGGTAAGTGATCTATTTAATATTGTGATCTATATACATGTTGACATCTATTCAGCTGTATGGAGCATGCCTTACACTTAGCCGCCTTACACTTTGTCAAGGAGGTCTCTCCTACACCAGCAAGCGTTCTCCTCAAGAACATGGCCGATGAAGATGACAATGACAATGACAACGAAGCAACTGATTTCGATGTTGCCGACACTGCAGGAAAAGCTCTCGCGCTTGTTACACAGATAAGTGTGTACCCTCATCTGACTAATGCTGTTTGATGAACACTTTCTTTAGATACGGAAATCTCCCCAAGCATGTACCTTCTTCCAACAGTGCTGTGTTGAGGTCAATGAGCCGAAGCTTGAGCTTTTGAAATGGATTCGCACCAGATGGACCTTGCTCTTTGGCATGTTGGAGCACACCCTTAAGCTGCACAAAGTAAGTTGGTTTCTATTACTGTCCCTATGAACAATACTAACTCAATTTGCCAGCAGGGGGTCAATAGATTCATACAACTGGCAGATGATAGTGATGAAGTCCCAAACTTGAAGGGCAAGTCATATGGAGCATTCAAGCTTTCAGCCAAAGAATGGAAGAAGTTGGAATTGATGCATGACGTGCTTCAGGTATGTGCGGGTGTCCAGTCGAGTCTCAAATGTTGTATTAACCTACTGTATAACCAGGAACCTGCCAACACTCAACAATCATTTTCAGCAACTCGCAAACCTACCATATGGCACGCGATTCCAGTCCTCGAGTATCTCCAGCAAACTTGGCAGAACATGGCTGGTTCTTCGAAGTTTGACAACTTTTCAGACACGATTAACTCTGGCCTCAACAACATTCACAAATGGTACCACAAGATCAACGAAACCAATGTTTATTTTGTTTGCTTCGGTACATATTTTATTGACTATGATGCCCTATCTAATGTATGATACAGTGCTTGATCCTAACTACAAGGTGGCATATGCAAAGGGTAAATGGGAGCCTCACAACTTCAACAAGGGCATGAGAAGCTTGTGGAAGGTTTTCGACAAGTACTATCATCACAATTCCTTGCCCGCCGACACAGAGCCAGCTGTTGTGGCTCCTTCCTTGCTTGCTCACAATGGGTCATATGGCCATAGCTGGATGCATGATGCTGTCAAAACTCATGTCACAAATGATGCTGCAAACCGAAGACCTTGCCAGGAGCTCAATGACTACCTTGCTGCCCCATTAGAGGATGTTGAGAATATAGTGGTGTGGTGGGGGGTGAGTTTTTTCGCATTGTGTTTCCTTGCAAGCTGACTTAAAATGCCTTTAGCACCATTCCATTCAATATCCCACCATCTCTCGCATTGCGAAGGATTACCTCGCTATTCAAGGCTCTGCTGTTGCATCTGAATGAGCCTTTTCGAGTGGCAGCATCACTGGGACCACCCGCCATAATCGTTTGTTGCCAACAACATTTGAGGCCCTTCAGCTATTGAAGAGTGGGTACTGTCAAGGCCATATATCTGCAACGGTTCAAGCTGAGTTTGCTGCTGCTCATGAACACTTTGCCATGGACGAAATTTAGCTACTCATTTACTGTTCATGTATTTCTTGCGATTTTTGCCAATTTATATGTAGCATTCGAGCGTTCGAACGCGTTCTGAACTCGAACCGAACACTTGCGAACGCGTTCACAAGGGTCCGGTCCAGCGTTCGCCCTCCTTGCCTGAACGCGACCGATGGTCCGGTTCGGCGTTCGCATTTAGAGGCCCAAGAACCGAACCGAACCGGACTTCGGCACCACTAAATCCATCTCTTAGATGCAAACATACAACTAGCGCTGGTAATAGCGAAGCGCCGAGAAGGTAAAATGAGGTCCAACGATGATCTAGACCTCACAGCAGGGTGTGTCCACCGGACCAAATCGAGGTCGATGCAAAGTATGGTGACGACCAAGATAAGGCGAGAAAATACGTAGGAGGAGTTGAGCAGCAGCAGTAGTAAGATGAAAGTAGCCCGGGGTCCGATTCGGAACGTCGAAGATGATGTTCGAGTTTCAGACTTTCAGTTCATCACGAAGTTGACGCAATCGGGTAATTCAGACGAGCCGAGGACATCTGTCAGGAGCATCGAATGGCAACACAATGAAGAGTGTGGAGTGTAAATGTTTTCTTGTTGGACCGGTTATCATCGTACCATCGAACAAGCAAGGTTCATCAAAATAGGAGATGCGAAAAGTTTGCCTTCAGGCCCAACTCTGTTGAGTGCGCCCCCAAAGCAGACTTGGGATGGGAGGGAATCAATAGGAACTTGAAGGGGCTGCACAAAAATGAAGGGCAAACAAGATTGTCAAAACAAAGACACAAGAAGCAGGGATTGACTTGAAGACCGACGCAGAATGGTCCGGGTAGACAGGAGAATCCAAGGGCTGTACCAAACCAACGAGGGAAAAAGAATTGTTAGAATAAAGATGCTCCTCTTGGTCAAACAAAGCCTGTACTGAATCGTGCCAAGTTTGCAGCATTGAGCCGTGACATCGAATATCACAAAGAAAATGGTGAAGTTCAAGGACCGGACGAGATGATAAAATTGATAGAAATGACCACACATAACAGTCTTCAGTTGGGTGAATGGAGGTGGTCATCAGAGGAGGAAATTGGAGTACTCGACCACATCGAAGTGCAACGTTCGGTTGGATCAACTCAAATGACACTCGGAAAACAGGTAGATCCCAAGGACCAAACATACGAGGTGACGGGGCTGATATAGTCGACTCGAGCATAAGTATTTTGGCGGATGATCGAAGTTAGCGTGAGGTTCGTCGACAAATGTAAACTCGTAAATGGTCGACGATCGGGTTGGCCAAGCGAGTATCCAAAGGCGTAGGACAATCATAACTCAAAAGTACTGCAGGAGCATTTAGAGGTGGATTCAAACAAAAACCATGAGGTCATCCTTGAAAAGAGGGTCTGGAGAAGCGGAGATCGATATCAATTGGAAGAAACCATCGATTAGGTGGTTCAGTCGATTCCAAGAGGTGCTATCGGAGAAAAGAGAATTCTAAAGCCAGCTATTGTGAAGGCTGACCTGAGAGTCAGCGGTCTCCTCGCTCGAATCTAGGTAACCGTGTAGTCTAAGTCAGGTGTTCGAGACCTGTTAGATCGCAAAACGTTCATGTTGTGTGGTGTGCTCCAATTGAATACCACACAGTTATATGAAGTTAGGGGTCTAAACCAGTAGAAGTAGAAAGGAGAGAAGGTTAATTCGGACGACAACCTTATATATGTGAGAGAGCAATTGTGAGACATCCAAATACTGATGGAAACAAATGTCTTCCTACAGTCCGTGATGATACAGAGTGATGTCATTTCTATCTTGACCAGATCAACATCCTGCTCAGCGAGCATGAACGAATGTATAGGAATCCGAGTCACTCAAGTTCATAATGTGATGGGATTGGAAGACGCACCGAGTATCGCAGAACGTGTAGAATGAATATATAAGTGTGAAGTCATCAGTTATAAAAGATACAGCACTGGGTGAGTGTACACAAATTTAACTGCAACTATAAGCACTGCCACGGCTGCTATTTGCTGCGCCATCCTGGCAAGGTATGTCAACTCGCACAATCCGTGATGATGTGCAATGAGGTCATTTCAGTCTTGAATGGATCAACATTGAGGACGAGGATATGATGAAGTTCATCTTCTGATGGAGTTTGGCAAACGCAGGAAGTATTGCAGATAGCATATAATTGATACATGAGTATTAAAATATCAGTCATGGAGGATATATCATACAACAAAGTGGATGAGTGCATACGAAGCATCCTAGGGAGGTATGTCAACGCGCTCCAAGCGCCATCAAGGAGGCATCCTCAGTCTTCCATGAGACCAACATGAGTAATAGCAGAGGAATGCCTTGCACCAATGCACGTGTGGGAGCGAATCGATATCAGATGTGTCGTTTTCCTGCGGCACAGTAGCCTGATGGCTAGACAGATGTCGGGTATCGTCTACTTTCTTGTATTCTGGTAGTTTGGCAGCAAGAAGCCGCTGTAGTGCACAAATCAGCAAAAGGGACCGAGAAGCAAGAACATGTATGTTACAGTGACTTTATGGTCTGGTGCGACTTCAACTACTGGTGGCCCATGACTGTGTTTTGGTACGAGTAAAGAAAGATGCTGCTGTAGGGATTGCACGACTCTGTTTGAGCGGGGGTGGAGAACTTATTTCAAACTGGATGCGCACTCAGTCATGCATTGCGAGTTTAGCATAGAAATTGAAGACTGACCTGATCAAATTGAATTGTTGCCTGAGAGGATGGTAAGGGCAACATAGCAGGGACCTGTTGCACCGTCATGGAGTCAGCTGTCAAAGAACCAATATAGAAGAGTCACGACCTACATCTCACGAGGTTGGATGCGATGAACAGGGACTGGGTTCATGCTAGGAGAGAAGCTAAGGAATTTTCCGAGACGAAGGAAAACGGGTTGCTGCGGGTCTATTGTGGGCAGAGGTTTCTGCGACGTAGTTATGGTAGGTATTGGTGGCCTGCGGTGGCCGGCAGGAGGACGACGAGTTGCATCAGACTGTAATGATGGAGGTGGGTGAGTGGTGTCATGAATAAAAGAATGAGATGCGCACATGCAGTAGATGATTGAGGGCTGACTTTTTGCGTGCAATGATCTGTAAGGGGATGTTAGTACACAAACAGTAGATGTTTGCAGGGAATGCATACACGAGCCTGAGCAAGAATGTCGGATGGAGTATCACAGATGCAAATCTTGTTGCCATCTCCGGTGGCCATCGTATAAGCTAGTTGTCGTGAGTCAGGTGAGAGAATAAGTCCAATAGAATCATGAACTTGAATGTCGAAGGAGGCGAGGACCTGTCATGACTCGAAAGCCCAGAGCTTGATGGTGTTGTCCGGGCGGGAAGCGCTAGCGAGGAAAACACCATCGAATGAAAGTGCTAGACCGGTGATGTTGCAGGTGTGCCCTTGATCCAGAATCTGCGGTGATGAATTGGAATGCGGCTATGATGGTTTTGTTGTTGTTTGTCCAGAAAACTGGCGAAAACGTGACTCCTCCTCCAGTGGGTTTCTCTATTCTGACATCCAATTTCTATGATGAGTATGCCAGTCTCCAAGTTCCATATCCGCGCTGTTTCATCTTCTGACCCGCTCGTCAGCAGGGTGTTGCCTGCAGATATATCGACGCAGTAGATTTGCCGTGAGTGGCCTTCGAATGTTTTCACAATCCCCGTCTTAACCTCACAGGCTTTCAGCTCCCCATGTGTGTAATCTCCACCACCAATGACAACCCATCGTCCATCCCTTGATACTGCCACTGCATATACCTCCTTCTCGAAAACATCCCGCGCTCCCTCAATCTCCTCTCCCGCCTTCAGATCCCATTGCCGGGCGGTCTTGTCCAATGATCCGCTGATCATTCGCTGGCCGTCTGGAAAGTAGGATAAGGAGTACATCCGGTTCCCGTGACCCTTCAAAGTAGTGTACGGTCAAATAGAGGGGTGTTAATTTACACCTGCGTGAACTGCTCGATTCAATCGGAAAACAACCTGCACACCCGGGTTCCGGACCAACAAAGAAGGCTGCCGCTAAAAACCTGTCCTCGTCTGTCCCCGACCCTTCTGCTTGGGACGAGTGGAAATAATTCACCCTAATTCACCCTAATTCACCTGTAAATTAGCGTTGATTTACAGACCTGTTAATTTACTGTAATTCACGCTGGTGAATCTGAAGCCTCTGGGCGCATTGCTAATTTACCCTGTGAATCTCGGACAGTTCCTAATTGACCGTACACTACTTCAAAGTCATTGATGGAGTCAGATTCGATTTCGTGATGGCTACTTTCGTTGATGCTGAAGCCATAGATGCGTCTTTGTGACGAAATCGTGAAGTAGTTGGGTGTGGGCAAGGTATTCTTTAGATGTGTTCAAAGGTGCAAAGGTGAGGTCTTCCATTGCCAGTCTGTGCTATATGACTGACGGTGTCAGCGATTTGAAGGTGGGCCCCCTGATCAAAACAAACATCAGTCCATTCCTGCTGGAAATCCAGATGGGAATTTGGTATTACCGAGGGGTTAACGTTCTAGCAACGAAGAACTTGAGGAGCGATGAATTGTTGAATGTGAGTGCAGCCATTGGATTTATGCACCACCTTGCATATATATACTCTGACATTCCCTCTCTGTATGGCAGCTGTGCACTGGCCGTGCATTGCACTCGGAATCCTTCCACCACATTTGTTTCTCGTTACTTCTCGGCTCACAGCCATAGCTAATAATAAAGCGCCAATCTGTTTTCCACTTCCCACCCCACGATGGGCGACAAGACATTGAACTTTTATCGTTATTCGCTCGTCGGTTTCTTTTGGCTTGCAATTCAGGACCTCACTTCCACGGAGAACACAGACCAGTCACGAGTTTTCCAGTGTCCAAGTTCTATATCCACGCTGTGCAGGCCAATGAGAGTTAACCGCTATGTATGCCGATGCACTAGGAGATAACGCAGTCGAGCAATATGCGATGTTCTTGACTTTGCTCGAACTGACTGCGGACATCAACGAACGTCGATTAGCATTGACCCGTACATGAGAACATGGTCTAAATGTTTACAGGGTGGCAGTCGAACAATCGATAGAGCATTCGAGATTGGCGAGAATGTCACAAAATTTATGCGCTGAACACTACTTGCAGCCTCTACCCCAAATGAAGGGTTCGCTTCCTTCTGTCCTTGCATCGCAGGCCGCTCCTTCCGATATCGAACTTCTGCTGCTTCGTTCCATTGAGTGGACAACATTCGAGGATGGAACGCATGATACTGTACTGGAACATGCCATCGTTATATTGCGGTACTTCCTAGGTAAGCTTTTTGTCGAAGTTCTACTATGATTGCTTAATCCATGGCTTCAGGTGCTGGGAGGGTTTCACTTACCAAGAACCTCTTGGATATGCTTCCGCGTGACCTCGCCTCCATCAACCAGCCTGAGGAACGAGTATCTTTACTATAGACAGTTCTTCACGATCTGGGACAGTCTTGACCGGGTCGTTGAGTACCAGAGTCTAGAGGTGTCGATAATGAACCGGGATGCCAGGGCCGCTTGGTTAAGCGACTACAGGGGACTTATCAACCAGGCTTACGATGCCGTCGTAAAACCACTCACCTCGGATTGGATGATGCCGAACGAGACAGGAGACCGTCGTTCCTGCAAGCCTGAAGCACGCATTGGAGCTTGCCAGCATTGTTGAGGATTCGAGGTACAAGTTGTATGATGATTTCTTGCATCTCGATGGCCGAAGGCTTGGGGAGTACCTTGTCGCTGTTCGCTGGGCGACGATAGCTGGGTTGGAAGGGGGTGGATCGGATCCTCTCAAGATTATTCTATCGTAATCAAACATTTTCTACATATTTGTTCCCTATCTTCATGTGACGCCCTTGCGGTAATTATAACTTTGTTGATGGGCTGCGAGGTTGTGGCTTGTCTCCCCTTCTATTCGTGGAGAAAGGAGGGTGACTACCAGACAAAGGCACGGCTTTGTCGTTGCTCATGAGACAACATTTGTACAAAGCCACGTATAAGATAAATGCAACAAGTTGTATCGTATTACAGGCGTGATTGATGTACAACAATGCATGGGAAAGAAACAATAAAAGTATCGTGCAGATGGTGATTCGAATGACTGAGAATTAGGTAGGACAGAGGGGGGATGAAACGGATCAGGATCACAGAAAATAGCGAACGAGCTTCAAACTAGACACCTATGTGAATAAATACGATCTGCTGTTCCAGCGGAATCTTATTGCGCAGTTTCTTCACAGCCTTGTGCAACGCCATCGCAGTGCGCGTGCAGTCCAATCTCCCAGAACCATTCACCAGGTCCCCATAAAAAGCAGACACAACCTCCTGCGCAACCTCGTCGTCGACAGACCACATAGAACCAATCACGCTGCGAAATCCGGAGAATTGCATAGCAGCAGCGAGATGGATAGACTCGTCGGGACTCTTTTCATCGCCCACGGTCGCGTGGCAAGCCGATAAGAATGCAAACTGCGGGTCCTGCCAGTTGGATCGGATGATGTCCTTGACCATCAACGGCCCATCACGCATTGCGAAGGAAGATTCGAATGGTTGTTGTCGATTCGGCATTCCGTGGCAGGCCAGGTGGAGCCACTGATTATGGTTCAATGCATCAAATGCACCCTCGACTGTTGCGTCGCTGTCCTCGAGTGACGTGAAGGACGACACGACAGGCGTGAGACGCTGGGCGACAACGGCTAGCTCAGGACCGACACATTCGAGTGGCTTCCCTTCGTCTGGGTTTCCTTGACCAATGGCAACAAAATGTTGCGGGGACGCATCCCCAGAAACCTGCCGTCTCGCACGAACAAGTGTTGCCAAAGTGAGGGTGTACGAGGAGATGTAGATGTGAGACAAACTGTCTCTCTTCTTCTCGTAGAGTCCTGCTGCATGCAGAGGAAGCAGCGTAAACTCGGCGGTGGGACACCACCAGATACGCGAGCCAGGGTGAACATTTGACACTCTAAGGGCTTGTACTACGGGGCCAACGATGTCATGCCAGAGTTTCCGAAGGATGCTGACAAGCTGATGTTGAGTATCAAAAGAACCGAATTCTTTTGAAAGGGACTGAAACTCGAAGGATAAATCAAAAACTACGGTCTGTGTGATACAAATTGGAACGTGGACAGGATCTCGGTCACTTAGGACAATCAAGGCGTCACAACTGTACTGACTAGCATTGACGATGATGACAGGACCTTCTTCAGCTGCCTTCTGTAAGTCTGAGAAAAGGGGAGGCAGGAGAAACCGAGAAAAGTCGGGAAGCATGCGGATGCGTGAAACCATGTCATCCCATTTCATAGTCAGCTGGCGGATTTGGGGAGATTGGTCTTCAGTAGACTGATCGAACGCATTACGGAGGCGAAAGCTCAGCTGCTTGAACTCTTCCGCCAAGGCTGCACCGGTGTTACGAACCGTGGAAAGCTCATCAACGGTTGTGCGGAAGCGTGCCAACTGAGTCCAGAATACTGCACGACCTTGCTCCACCAGTTCCACAGCAGTTATCAGCGCGCCATGACGAACGCTGCAAGAGAAAGCGTCCACAGCAAGCGAAGCCGTGGCGGTCCTCACGGGATCGAAATGACGCGACGAAGACGACAAAAGAGCGACATGCTGATCTAGAAATTTCAATGCAATTTGATATGCAAACAATGCAGAATCATGGTTTGTCTCCTCGGCAGCGGCGGCCCATGACTTAGCAGCGGTAAGATCTGTACGAGAGGGCAAATGAGATATGTGGGGGAGTTGCGAGAACAGGCTAAATGTTTCATCAAGGTCAGATGGGATCCCCCGCTGAGTAAATCTCTCTCGAAAGCTGTTGGCAAGACTGCTGAGAGACGACGATCGAAAGGAGTGACCAGGGGGACGAAGGAGTAGTGCAGCCCGATGGAGCTCAATGGACTCATCAAGGTCAGATAGGACACCCCATTGCGTGAATCTGTTTCGAAGGCTGTTGGCGAGACTGTTGAGAGACTGTGATCGATCAGAATGACCAGGGGGACATCTCTTCAAGGCCTCTCGACACTGTTCCACATCGTCTATCATGCTATGATACCACAATCAAGTTACACAATGACTGTCAGGAACACAGGGAGGATGAAGCCGAAGAATGCAAGTGGGCGAAGAGAACAAGTACTGTCAGATTGTCCGCCTTTCATCAGCACAAAACGTAGATAAGTTTGAATCGCAATGCGCACGCACATTAATGGACACCCGAGCAATGAAGTAGTCCCAGAGTAGTTCAAGTTGATGTCCAAGGTTGAAAGCGATTCTGCCTGCAGGCTACACTGTGCAGCACCTATATGACACTATGGTTAGTAACGAACATGTGATGTGATGTCTCTTACTATAAACTAGGGGGTGGACGCTCCATAACTTTTCTCTTCAAACTCCGACATATGTACAACGTCTAGACTGTCCAGTGTCCAATGACGGTTCTCCCTTTGTTTCTTGATTTCCATTATTCTATCAAGGTCTTGTAACGGGAAACTACCTTTGTTATGACTTCTCCCTTTGTTTCTTTAGTACCTTCAGAAAATCCTATATAAGCCCAATGAGAATCAGCTTCAAGTTGCTCAGCTGGAATTGCCAGTCTCTTACAACTCGTTAACGCTTTGACACTGATACTTCATATTCACCACCAGATGATATCACGTATAAGTACAGAGTGCGTCAGCCACGACGAACCATGTACGGCAGATGTCAGTATCATCTCTGAAATTTTATCACCGGCTCAATTGATTAATATTGGTGCGGTACCTATTCTTCTTTCTGACCATTGCTGAACATGTTATATAGCATGAATTAGACTGGGGAACGCAAGTTGCACCTGAGTCCAACGACAAATGGGCGACCAGGCGTCATTATTGATTTCAGTTGGCGAGGTATAACAAATACACAACTTGTGAGTGATACGCATTATTACGGGATATATGATGACTGAGGGTAAAGTAACATTTGTAGATCAAACTCGCAGTACCAATCGTCAACGATTTAACTGCAATGTTTTCGTTTTGCAACTCTTCCTTTGGTGGTAAACTGCAGCGAAGGTAGGCGATTGGCACTTTGATCGGGCTGCTCGACGTCTGCAGGAGGGGCAACTGCCACGTTCCTCTGCTTACGAGCTTCCTGTCGTGGCTGCAGCTGACGGCGTCTCAACTCTCTATGCGAGTTTCTGATAGTCGTCGTTAACTGAGTTTGACAAACGAAATGCGAAAACTCACAGCGCATCCCTTCCGTCAAAAGGTAAGGTGGGTGGGCCTATCGGGCCTGTTGACGGTAGTCTGTCAACGAAGTGGTTAACATGAGTAAGTCAAGGACAGGGGAGTACATACGGTGGTGTCATAGTCTTTAGCACTCTTTCTGTCCGCATCTGATCCTCCTCGCCTTCTTCGTAGATCCAATCTTTTGGCCAATTGGGCGCAATCTCCCTCCAGTACGTGAAATAGGCCTCTAATCTCTCACGACGCCCCCGTTCGGCGCGCACGACATCCCGCACATTCCTCGCCTGCTCCTTCAGCCCCGCCGCTCTCTGGCGGAGAGCGGCGGCCTGGATGAGAATGCGTTGATCGTCGGCCGTGATCTGCTTCATTATGTTCACAGCCCGGTTGAGCAGCTGTGGTTCTTCAGGTGGAGGCGTTCCTGCACGCGAGCTGACAGGAGATTTATAGTATTGCTGCTGATTGGGACTTCCGTAGGACAAGTAGGAACCACCCGAATCACTGCAGTCATCCTCCGAAGCAGGGTGCCTATTGGGACTTGCTACTAAGGGCGAAAGGCTTGGCGACTTTCCCACTAGATTGTCAGGCGCTACGTCACCAGCACGTCCAGCTACTTTTGTGGGAGTTGTGTGTTCTGCTGCTAGAATCAGGACGGGTGTAGGGGCATCTTCCTGGATGATGGGAGGATCAACTGGCGAAGGGTTAGGTTTCTTGTACTGCGACACGAGATATGACACTCACAACTTGTATCCATAGGTAAGTCTATGGTTCGCGTTGAAGGGCCGGCAGCTGGAAGTCCCTCCTCCGTCGTTCTTGACTTCTTTCTTGGTGGCTCCTCGCTCTCTTCTCGACTGAACGACCGTCAGAACCATTTATAGCATCGAAGACAAAGCAGGGCACGTACAGTACAGGATCAACCTCGCTGAGTTTCACCAACTCTCTAATGATTACTGCACTCTTCATGTTCGCTTTTACTCCATGAGCCTGTTTTCATGTCAGTGACTGGCATTCAAGGAGAGAAACGCAACGCGCACCTTGGCTACCTTTTGCAGCTGTGCACGGGATAGCTCGCCAAGTGTAGCTTCATCCATGAAGAGTTTTCCTTGACTTGGAGCTGGGATTGGGTTGTTGGATGAGTGGGCATCATGAGGAAGGAGTGCTTCATTCATTTTGCGCGGCGTAGTCTTTAAAGCACGGATACTTTGGTGAAAAGATGTGGTACTGAGTCGGGTTGGGGATCTGCTTAAGGAGGTTGGAAACAAATAACGAGGAACTTTGAAGGTGGTTTAAATTTGTTCTTGTAATGTGGTTTGTGTGGATACATCCACAACATTTTAAATACACGATGCATGCTTGTACCCGGAGAACAATAGATTAAGAATAACTCCGAGAGGCGGGGGTCCGGGAGCAGTTTGGCTGCCATATTGGTGAGATCAATCATATCAATAAGTGTTTCTACACTGAACGCCAATATGTCTGGTCGCATTCGAATTTCTACATGATGATGGGACACTGTGGGGCTGTTGCCGAGGGGCGTCGAAGATACAATGATATGATGAGGGAAGTAAGTACTAGTGTTTTTTTTTTGACTTGAGCCGGATATCAAAGGCGCACGCTTCCGCAACCACCCGGAAGACTTTCAAGGCTCTTTTACCCAAATTCCACGTCGCTTTCCTCCTCAGGCGACATATTTACGACACAAGAACCACGTACCCGGAGTGCGGCAGGGGATGATCGGACTCCCATGCGCTCGAAGGCTATATGAGGAGATGTGCAAAAAGGAGTTGTGACGGACACCGTAGTTTTGAGAAGTGGTAGGTTCCATGTCGAATAACGGCAAATATCCTTGACCGCAAGCCTCTGGGCAATATTTGCTGCAGCGTTGACTCTTCACTCGTCTATGGCCTGTCTGTGGAATTTGTACTCGTGCATGGGGTGGCGATCACTCCTGCATGTATGTACATTCGACGCGGGCAAGATCTTGAGGACTTTCGCTTCGACGAAGCTGTCAGACCTTTAAATGTCTTTTCTCAAACCGGCGTCCACGACCAACTCCATAACCTCTCGACGACCGCTTTCTCTGTCAATAGCGTGGCATCCCCGAATTCTATTGCATGGAGTCGCATTTCACGTTTCGCATCTACTCCAACCAAACCTGTCAGCAGAAATAAAGCTTCGTGGTTCCCATCGTTAGCGTTTCTAGCAGAGGGCTCATCTATCGAGGATAAAACTGAAGGTGGTTAAGGCGCTGTTGCATGGAATTGATACAGACGCAATGTTTCCACGGAAGTTAGGATTCAGAATCAAACACTTGACGTCGATATGAAATCATGAATACATTGTATGATGCGTTACATAAAGGGTAATGCACACACGAGGAAGGATATATATAAAGATGTCGTGTATGCCTATCAATCGGGTAGCTGTTATCTCCTGCTTACCTCCTGGTAAGATGAAAGCTCGATATCTGAGCACCAGCACAGATGAACTGACGGTTGATTTTAGTAGGGAAAGTGCTGGAGTACTCAACCGGGTCAGGCTTCACCGGTGAAGCCCCAGTAATCCTGAAGTCAGCCTCATAATCGCCCTAGTACTTGTCAACCTCGCTGTTGAAGAGATCAGCTATGGCTTCTAGTTCGACAAAACCATCAGAGCAACAAACGAATCAATTCTCAAACCGGTCATGACGTTGCAGGGCCATAAACCTTCGATTGACGAGCAAAACTTTGGCCGTGTTGGACACCATGTTTCATCTATTTCCTACTTTCCGGACGGTCAGAGAATGATTAGTGGATCTTGGGATAGGACTGCTCGGCAATGGGATCTGCAAATGGGGAAAGAGATTAAGAAGGTACGGGATGTTTGTGCCAATGGGATGGTAAATGCGGTGGAGGTATCAAGGAATGGTCGATGGATCGTCAGTGCTGGTGGAGAAAACAATGAGATGCGCCATTACGGGGAGCTCCGAGCTTGCGAGGTTGAGACAGGGATGGTGAGAACACTTGCAGGCCACTCGAGGGAGATCACCTGCATCGATATCTCCGCGGACAGCGCTTTGCTGGCGAGCGGGTCATACGATTCCATGTGGATATGGAGCTTGGACACTGGGAAACCCGTGGCTGGTCCATTCAAAAGTGATGCATGTGATGGTGCTATTCGATTCTCGCAGGACTCGAAGAAGCTTGCAGTCAAGTCAATTTTTGGGAAGCGCCTTGAAATTTGGGATATCCACACGCAGAAACTGGACGCCAGAGTGGGGAAATCAATACGAGGTGGCGGGATATGGACATGTGCGCCAGTGTTCTGGACATCGAGAGACCGAACCATCATAGCTGCATTCTCCTTCAGGGATGACATGATTGACACAGGCATCAACGACCTTCCAAGGATGATTTACAAATTCGACGCGTCGACGCTGAAGACTGTCGGTCCTCCCTTTGAAGGGCACACCAGACTTGTCACCGGCCTAGCACTCTCATTTGATGGCACTCTCCTCGCTAGCGCTTCCAGGGACGACAACACCATCAAGCTCTGGGCTTTCGAGTCCCGCCAGCTCCTCGCTTCATTCCACGTTCAGGAACCACACTCTATCATCCTCTCACCTGACTCGCATCAACTGGCTTACACGACTTGGTGTGACACAAAGTCCAGGATTTACATATGCGACACTCCACCTGACATCCTTGCTAGTGTATGGCCTACACAAGAAGCACAGCCCGATGTATGCATTCAGCCGCATATATCTGTCCATTCGTGCGCTGACAATTTGTAGATCAATACACCTCGCAATCCGCGCTGCGCCGTACGCCGTGACCCCATCAAATCTCCCATCCGCATCCCACCAAAACCTCTTCCTACAATAGACCCACAGCAACCCTCTTTCCTTCGTTACCTTCGCAAACTTCTTCCTTCATTCTCCGACGCAGTTCGTCCTATTCGGAACGGCGAGCCTCGTGATCCACTGGACGTATGTATTCTGCCTGTTGCCTTCGCAATCGACTTGACGTCCCCCTTGCAGTTCCCTGCTACGTCGCCCCTACCTCCAAATCGTTTTCCTCCAACGCAGGCCACAACTAAGGTGTTGATATACAGATCCCTGCGAGAATACGAGTGCTCACTGTCGTAATCACATCTTCAACTTACATTTTCAGTCTCGATCTGCACGACTACTGCCTGCCTCCCAATCCTCTACTGCTACTCCCACTACCTTCATATCCCGCATACGCTCAGCCCGGTTACCTATCGTTGACGCTCCTCTCGCGCAGGGTAAAGAGGTGTGTTCGGTTGATTTTTCACTGTTTCCAGGTCTCATACATCAATTTACAGCGCAACGCTGCAGCCGGTGCTCCCCCTAAGGACGATGATGATTTGATCCGTGATGAAGACTATGTCTCTCCTCCTCCTTCACCGACCCCCGGTTCGCAGCCACGATCCGCAGCAAGGCCAATTAATGTTACCTTTGGAGAACATGGAAGCGGCCGCTCGTGTTTCTGCTTTTAGCGTTGTTTCGAGAACATTCCTCGTATATGTCGTTTTTGCTTGTTGTAACTCGTCACATGCGTTCTCCTATTAACACTTAGCTCAAATGGTCAATGAACCCTTTGGAGTGCGCCTTGTCTTTTTATCAATAGCACACATTCTGACTACAAATTTCATATCTTCCTTCAGGTATTCACTTAAATTCTGCTAGATTTATACAAGGCTACATATAATTCCTCAAATCGCTCGAGCAGATTATGTGCGTGTTTCAAAACACCAATAAGCAGCGATCCATTTCCAGCTTTAAATTCTGCTCCACACACAAGTATTGAGGAAAGACAAAGTCCTCGCAAGGAATGCCACAGCGTAAGCGCGTGTACATATTGACGTGAAATAGAATGGTGCCGGTAATGGATGACCTCCCTCATTCACTCGATTCAACCATATCGCGATCCCAGCATCATATTCTAGGCAACACTTGGTCTTGCCACAACCCATTGGCTCATAGTTGGTATCGAGTCTCTGCACTGATGGGATTTTGTGAGTATTTTTGGCCTGTTCCAATTAGTAGCTTTGTGTGATCGTTACATACAGCCATGTGCCACCCCAGGAATGGTTGTTGACCAGCGTCAAGTCGAGATCCGAGTTGATTTTTGCGAGACTGAAGTCGAAGAGGTTTGTGAGCTTGTCTCGCAAGAGGATGTCAGTCCGTCTTTTGGACGATCATTGTATCGAATCACTCGAACGCCCTCAGAAAATTGGGTCATTTCAAGCTTCCCTTGTCTAACTCTCCGTCTCAAGCTTGAGCATCTAAACTGTATCTCCTACTTACCAATGCACTTTCCTGATAATTCGAAGTGGTTTAAAGGTGTTGGGGTAGATACCAAGCAATTAGTCCCGTCCATTCACAGCCGCGGCCCGGCCTGACTTAGCAACACGAGGTAAAAGTTTATTGATAGCCATCATTTTAGTGACTCCACAGACATGCCCTTCCGTCGTGGCGCAAACACCGGGCGTAAGGATGATCGGAAGGACCAAAGAAGTTCTGTGACTTAGGTCTGGTACATGAAGTATTCTGTACCATACAAAGCTGTACATGCAGCTGTGCCTGCCGTCATTGCAAGTGTTACTGGATAAAATGGTGGTCTTAGAGACCGTCGCAGATGCAAGAAGAGGTATGTCAATGACCAAGCTGCCGCGGTGCATGTACGTCATATGTGAATCACGGAGTGATGCCAGAACTCACCAGTAGCTATTCCGCTGCCGTTCCTGGCGTCACCAGCCCCTAGGACATACGCGGCGCCACCAAAAACCAGGGAGAAGCCGACCCGGTGGAGATATGGAGGAAAGTGAACATTTGGACGAACGATAGTAGATGGAATGATGGCTGAGACTGCAACTATTCGTGCCAAAAAACATCAGATGGTGGTGCATATGAAGCGAAAACTTGTGACACGTACATAATGTCCCCAGACCAAGAATAGGTCCCCTTCAAAATTCAATCAATAGGTTAATGTGCCAGGATAACGTGGATTGAACTTGGAGCGTGCGTATGGTTGAAAATGAGTGAATGCTCCGGACGCCGTTTGTGACGTAGAAAGACTCGACGAATTTGCGCGTTCAGGAGACTCCTTTCCCTCCATTCCACCAATTGGGTTGTGTTTAAATGTAAAATTTGAGCGTTCTGAACATGAAGTCACGCAAATAGGCCTTAGGGTTAGAGAATTCGGGTATTTATTTGAACCCCGAATGGGGAAACTTGCAGCCTTCATGGCAACTGTCAGTCTCGGACCATGCTTGTGGAGCAGTATTTGTGTCGCCAGCACGGAATACACGAGGATTCTTCATAATTTATAGGCGGGTAAGGGAATATTTATGCTTTGTCCTCTTGAACAACGTTAACAGCAGTGACTCGGTTCAACTGAACGATGCCTTCGACTATCATCCAGGCGGGACAAACATGGCATGGTTTTAGCAAGATCCAGTATTTGATCATATTGTACGCCCTCATTCCGCCTATCAACAAGCGAGCGTTATGAGATTAACTTGCTCAACTTGATCCATTTAGTGGTGATTCTTATAGCAGCATTCGTTGGGACTACCAATCTTCTCCCCATCCGACAATCAAGAGCCCGCTGGGAGTGACCTATCCCGGAGTGACATACGCAGAGCCAGGCAAGCCGAACTGGGTCGGACATCTAGTGAAATCGCGTCCATCTAAACTGGTGTACGACTATGCCAGGGGAAACGATTTTGTGTCTTCTCTAGAGAGACAGATCATATACCAGTTCCTTCCAAATGTCGCAAGGAAGCCATCGTCGGCCCAATGGGAACCAGAGGACACACTCTTTAGTGAGTACTCTCGAGTCGCATACTTTGTCTCTCTGACGGGATCTGCGTTGATCTATGACAGTGACGTGGATTGGGATTAATGATCTCGCGTAGGTCGTCGTTCTGCTGTCTTGATTATAAACTGATCGAGAACTCCTCAGTCTCATCGAAGATATTGATGGCGTGTTTAACACGCTGAAGGGTCTTTTCCGATACCAAGAGAAGCTATATGCCTCTGGGGCTCGAAACTTTCTGTTATTTGACCTCCCTCCGATCCACAGATCGCCCTCAGGTATGATCGCATCTTCCACCGTGGTTCATATACTCATTCCAAAACATAGTACGGGACGATACCGCTACCGTAATGGAACAGTATCAGACGTGGAACGTGACATTAGAGAAAGAACTTCAGAGCTGGACTAAAAGCCATCCAGATGTCACCACCTTTCTCTTTTCCTCATGGGATTCATTTTCGCGCGTGTTGGATGATCCAAACGCATTCGGATTTGATCCCAATGACATCAGTGAACCTGGGGGTGCAATATGGGTAGATCGGCTCCGTCCCACGAGTGCGATGCATCGAATCATTGCGGACGATCTGATTTCGTTCCTGGACGCCCATTCACCACATGTCTCTGATCAACCAGAATTCTCGCACAATCGGGCGTACTTCTCAGCAAGCAATGCTGTATGAGTGAAGACGAGTTTGCGAAAAAGGCATAGGACGGGGCGGGTGCTTTATTGTTGCCTCTGGAAGGAACTGGTAGCATTTTTCAGTTCATGACTACTGCCAGGTTATATATTCATGTGAACGCATCTAGTATGTATAATCCTACGACATTACGTGACTTACAGAACAACACATCTACGTGAACATGTACGCAACTTTACGTTGACGAGGTTCGCTTTACCTGCGCTTCGCAATTGAAGTACTCAAAAAGTTAAATTTTTCAATTTATTTGGCACGATCTCCCCAGTTTGGTTATCGTCAATGCGATCTTGATGTGTCGTTCTCATCAAACAATAAAGTTATGATCGTCGCGAGCTCAAAGGAGTATGGCAACAATTAATGCTGCCCGTGCCGCTGTCAGGGCTGGTGCGTATCCACACTGTACACGTTATTACAACGAGGACTATCGAGTGATGGGATAACAGTCCACAAAAAAATGAACAATTTCTGCCAAGAGGATATGCGATCTTGCCGCCCTCGCTTAGTTAGGTCCGATAAACTGATATAATATCCGCCTGACAAGTCCAGACAGATGCTGCGGGTCGTTCTGCAAAGAATATGAACTGTTCAGGACATTTCTTACCATAGACAGGATCAAAGTCACCTGATAAATACTCTGGGCATCATAAAAATAAGATCAGGACGGCGTTAGAATATATAGCAACCTTCCACTCACCATAACCATACTCATTCCGATCGCAGTGAGCTAGCGCATGTCAGCACGTCCATTGAACACGAAATTGAACACTTACGATCATTTCCCCAAATTGACCAGTGTGGAATACCCAGCCCTTGCCTCTTGCCGTCAACCAGGCACTTTCCATGCCCTTCGGCAGAACATACATCGCGAGCTCCCCTCGCCTCCGCTTTTCCTCAACAAAGAGTGAAAGCGCACCAAACAATCCACCGAGGTCCATAGGAATACTTTGAGCACAAAGAAGTCGATAAATTTCTGTGGGAGCTTGACTAAAGTTTTGGGAGGATAACATCCTGTAGAGGTAATGTTTGAAACAGACCCACGCTGCGAAGAGATGCAAATGTCATGCAGGCACAAAGGGACGGCGGAAATACATACTCTGGACGAAGCAATGAACGTTGCTAAAAATGCAGAACTCCGTATCGTAGCCCACCCTGCACGTCCAAGCTTGTGCAATGGGTTCTCGAAGAATGCATGCCGCTTGAACAATATCATCGGGACAAAATGCAGAGCACCATAGATTGGGAAGGCCCATTTGAATACTGTAACAAAGCGCGGTAGCGGCACGTGTGTGCACGATTCTACCCAGGGGTGCACAGCGCCACAGGGAGGATAGGGGCCAAGTCAGGAGGCGAATTAACAGC